AGAAATATGTGTTTAAAGAAATTCTTCCTAAAAAACCCTATAAATAGGACAAATGAAAGCATAGGAAATTCCGAAGCTGTACACACGGAACTCAAAGCTAAATCTTTGTTTTACCCTAAGTTTTGTATCTCTGATGAGATGATAACTTTTGAGAAAATGGTAATGAAAGATATAGGGAAAATAAAGGACCCTAAGCATAAACAGTTTAACCTTAATTTTGGAGAGAGAAAAGCACTAAAGGAATTAAGGCAGGACGACTCACTGATAATAAAACCAGCGGATAAAGGGGGGGGCATCGTCATCCAAGATAAAGAGGAATACATTAAAGAGGCATATAGACTCCTAGGGGATGAACAAACATACAAGATTTTAAAGAGTGATCCCACTAATGACTTTAAAACCACATATGAGAGCTTGATAGAAGATGGAAGAAAATCTAATATTTTAAATGAGAGAGAATATAAATTTCTAAATGTGATACAACCTAAAATACCGGTTTTTTACCACCTCCCTAAGATCCACAAGGACAAACAAAAACCCCCTGGTAGACCCATCGTATCTGGGATAGGCTCGATTTCGAGCAGACTATCCCAGTACGTTGATAGATGCCTTCAACCAGTGGTTATTAAGAGTCCAAGTTATTTAAAAGATACCTCCAATATTCTTCAGGTATTGACTAATCACCAGTGGAAAGAAGGTAGCCTTTTAGTGACAGCAGACGTGAGCTCATTATATACCATCATTTCTCACGACAAGGGGTGCCAAGCCACTGAGCATTTTTTACAGGAAGCAGGAACATTCCCTAATGGACAAATAGATTTTCTAGTTAGGAGTATCAGATGGATACTAAATAATAACTATTTTTGGTTTAATAACTCCTTCTATTTACAGATATGTGGAACGGCGATGGGCACGAGGTTCGCACCGAGTTACGCTAATCTATTCATGGCTTTATGGGAACAGTATTTCATATACAGTGAAGGTGAATGGAACGCGAACCTCGTGGCCTATCGTCGTTACATAGACGATATATTTTTTATCTGGCAGGGAGACGAAACCTCTCTAGGGTCTTTTTTAACCTATTTGAATAGTAATGATTGGGGCATTAAATTATTATTCAACTACAGCACAACCCAAGTTGAATTTCTTGATCTACAGATTTATGTGGAAAACAACGTATTGAAAACTTGCACTTACTTTAAACCTGTAGATGTCAATAGCTACATTGAAGAGAACAGTTGTCATTTCTCTCCGTGGCTATTGAATGCCCCAAAAGCGCAATTACTTAGGATGAGACGTAACTGTACAGATGAGCTAAAATTCCAAACACAATCCCTTAAAATTATGGAGGATTTTAAAGAGAAAGGGTATAATGAGACATTATTGACAAGGGCAATTAAGGAGGTGGAACTACAAGATAGAAAAGACCTTATTAAGTATAACGTTAGGAGTAAGGAAGAAGTCCAAACATTAGGATTGATTTGTGATTTTAATTGTAAAAGTAAGGATTTTAGGAGAATAGTTTTTAAATATTGGCCAATTTTAAGAAACGATCCCCTTTTAACTAACATTCTCCCTGAGAAACCACGAATAATTTATAGAGGTGTGAAGAATTTGAAAAACACTTTGACGTTTAATCACATTCCCCCAAGAAGATATAAAAGTAATTTTTTAAATGAATCAAAGGGTTTCTACGGGTGTGGACACTGTGGGGCTTGTAGAAACTCTGGAAGTAAAAAGAGATTAATAAAAGAGTTTCCACACCCACATAATGTGAAAATTTCATTTAAAATAAAGGAGTTAATCACATGCCAATCCACAAAAGTTATTTACCTTTTGACATGCCCTTGTGGACTGGCATATGTAGGACGTACGAAAAGGAATCTACATACCCGAATACAGGAACATATTAGAAACATTAGGAATGGTTTTGAAAAACATAGTGTTTCTTTGCACTTTAAAAATAAACACAATAGTGACCCCACTGGACTACAATTCCATGCGATACAGAGAATATTACCAGATTGGAGGGGAGGTGATTTTATCAAGAAATTAGGTAAAAAAGAAATGCAGTGGATTTTTAACTTAAACACCATGCAGCCTAACGGCTTGAATGATGATTTTGAACTTTGTCATTTTTTAACATAGCTTTTTATGGATTATCAACACTATATTTAAGAACCAACAGTCCAGGATCAGTAATGTTTATTGGATCTGGTTATATTTCTAATATTCAGCATTTTTTTTCCACTTTTTTTCACTTGTTGGTGAAAGCGAGCACTGGCACTTTAAAGAATTACCATCTTAATATGAATTGTTTTAAATATATCGTTTTTATGTAAGCATCGTTGTTATAGTTTCCTTGTTTATGGCTGTATTAGCAGTATTCTTATAAATATAGATATTTTGATTATGGGGCTTTTTAACATGGACACCATTGGTAGTCTCCTTTTTTTATAATATACACTAGATTCAAACAGACACCAGTGAAGTCATCTGTCTGATCTATGGTGCAAGGAGACAATAACAACGATTACTATTATTGTAATATAATAGGCTGTTTGTGGACATCAATATATGTGCTGAAAATAATGTGTCTTTTTCTTTTTCTTTTTTAAATGATGAGAGGTATTATTGTATACATTGGACTCTATTGTGGGCATTTGCCCACTTCTATAATGGACTCCCACGTGAATATGTTGCCGGCGACAGGACACGCCTCTTTTTCTGACGCGGTATTGACCACGTGAGATGTCGAAGAACCGGAAGTAGACCGGCAGCCCGCGGCATTAACAACTACTAGAGAGAAGGGATTGGATAATTGGATAATCACTGCACCAACCATAAGTGAGACTACGATATTTAAACTACAAGAAGCAGCTTACACATCACCGATTGAGAAAGCTGTCTCAGTACAGCGAAACGCGTCTCGGCTGGAAGATAAGAGAATATTCTTGCTATATTTTTTATACATCAATACTTTTTAGTATATTTATATAATTTTGTTTATTTGTATATTATTTACATATTAAATTTTATTTTTTGATCCGATACCTATCTTCCATTTTTGCTGCTGAAAGAAGGGTGGTAGCCTCCTTAAAGGCACAGATACCAATATACTGAGAGCCAGGTGTAGGGCTCCTTAACAGGTGAGAAGCCAATATTATACATTTATTCTCTGTTATTGAGACATACTACACTAGGATTCTTTTTTCTCCCCTGTGTTCCTCTTCCATGCAAGGGATCCATTGACGGGTAGAGAGTCGTTTTGGGGTTTGGTGTCACCAGAAGTACACATCCGCTGCTGTGATCTGAGCCTATCCTAGAGGGCTCAGAGCCATGTGAGTGAATCCATATAGACCATTTCACTACTACATCTATCTTGTGACGTTATTTGCACTATTTTTTCTTTGTATTTATATCTGCTCTAGACACGTTGTCTCTGAAGTTTACATATACATTTGTATATATACCCATATGGGTGAGTGTATTATAATTTGAGCGCTCCACTTGTACACCAGAGGTGGTTTTTTACCAATTTCTCACTGAGTGTTCACTTGATGTTTTATGCTTATGTATAGGGTGGAGAGTCCCTATTTATAGTGGTAGCTGCTGTTTATATTCATTGTATATCATATTAAGCGCCTTGTCAACACACTATTCTTCTGCATTTTAGAAATTTTAATTTAGTTGAAAAAAAAAATGAAAAGGGGAGGTAGTTGAAGCAAACCTGGTAAGTGGATCTCATCTGCACGAGGTTAATGTAGTAGCAATATAACTCTCTTTCCCAATTTACTGAAGATAATGGTGTTAGAACCCGTTGCGATTTTAATAAGACAAAATAAAAAAAATTAAAGGATTTACGAACTCTTTAGGATAAAGTAAATTAAATATTTACGCAGATGACATCTTACCAACTTTAGAAGAACCAAAAACTTCAGTCCTAGAGCTTCTGAAAGAGATAAATAAATACTCCAAAGTGTCAGGAAATAAAATGAATATAGAGAAATCAATATTTATAGCTAAATAACAAAAGGTTAATGAATTTTCTTGTACAAAACCTTGGGCTCTCAGAAAACAACAGGCTAAAATATTTAGGTATAAAATTAACCTCAGATTTAAAAGACCTAATAGAAGCCAACTTTTTACCCTTACTAACACAAACTAATAAAAACTTAAAGGGACACTCCAGGCACCCAGACCACTTCTGCCCATTGAAGTGGTCTGGGTGCCAACTTCCATCACCCTTAACCCTGCAAGTGTAATATAAAAACTGCAATAATTACCTTGCAGTGTTAAGTCCTCCTCTAGTGGCTGTCTATCAGACAGTCACTAGAGGGACTTCCGGGCATTAGGTTTCTACCGCCGACTGATGTCGGCGGAGGAGGAACATGGGCGGAGCTTGACCCAGCGCCGAGGGACATCAGCACTTGATTCAGGTTAGTCACTGAAGGGGTTTTAATCCCTTCAGCAACATGGGATGGAGGGTGGGAGGAAGAGGGGCACTGCAATATCCCTTTAAGGGACTGGAAAGGTATGGGATTTTCCTGGTTGGGAAGGATCAATATCCTAAAAGCATATATTTTACCAAAATGGCTGTACCTATGGAGAATGATGCCACTTAATTTCAAGAAAACTGGTTATCTTTACTACACTCATCCTTTTTAAAATGTGAATGGGGCGGCAAGAAAGCAAGAGTTAAAATGAAAGTTTTGGCTAGATCAAGGAAGGATGGAGGTTTGGGGTGCCTGGAAATTTTACAATGCTATCAAGCTAGCAGACTTTTCCATATAATGCTTACACAAAATATTGCTGCAATCCAAGAAACATGGTATAAAATGGAAAATGCTAAAACCGGGGTGGGAAATTTAACTTCACTATTTTGGGCTCTAGAAGTGAACAAAAAATCCATCAAAGAGGCACGAACTAAATCTCAGATACACAAAGAGTTAACAAGTTGGTGGGACAAATTCTCAAACAATTTAGAGGTGCTCCCTTTTTCTAGTATTTCAGATATGTTAGACAACATAAAAATAGACACTTGGAACACTGGGGGGATAAGGGAATTTAAAAATATACTGGTGGAACATAAAATTAAAACTTTCAATCACATTATGGAGGAATTCAACATTCTCCCCAAAGACACTTTTCAGTTTCTGAGAATTAAGGGCTTTTTAGCAGAATATCTCCTTCAAAATGAGCGGGAGAAAATTACAATCCTCAAACATCTACTCGAATTAAAGAACTATAAAAACCTAATGGCAAAATGCGCTATAGTTATATACAGATGGAGACACGATAAACCAATAGAACATATTAATAAATGGGAAAAAGAACTACAAGTACATATAGAAGAAGAAGAGTGGATAAGCTCTCTAAATAAATTAAACAAATATGCACACTGCTTAAATCTTACGGAAAGCCAATTTAAATTCTCAAACAGATGGTACCTAATACCGAAACGTTTAAAGAAAATTTTCCCAGAGTCATCAGGCAGATGCTGGAAATGTAATATTAATGAAGGCAATTTAATCCATAGTTGGTGGCAGTGCATACCTATAAATAAATTCTGGAAAGATGTAATAAAGGTAACATATCAAATAACGGAAATAAAATTTGTTTTAAAGCCAGAAGTGGTTCTGCTAAACTTACACTGGCCAAAAAAAAAAAAATGAAAAAATATTGATGGTAATTTTACATATAATTACAGCAGCTAAACTACTTATAGCACGAAACTGGAAAACAGGGGTAATTCCACGCACTCAAGAATTAATACCACAAGTTATATGGCAAGCAAGAATAGACAGAGGTATCCTGGCCAACTTGGGAAATAGATAGAAACATAGAATGTGACGGCAGATAAGAACCATTCGGCCCATCTAGCCTGCCCGGATATACCCAAATAGAAGACTGGGATACATGGATATGCAACATGGAAATGATAACCTTATAAACATCTCAATGATTACTTTCCTCCCCTCTGAATCACGCAATAATCAAGGTCAGGCATAGCTAAGGTCCAGACTAAGCAAGTTGAGTGCCAGAAAAGAGAATGGGAGGAAAAGAAAATAAGGTAAAGATCTCAACCCCTAAACGGACAGACAAAACAGAATAAGAAAATAAGAAAAATACACTGGGCAGAAGTGTCTCTCTCTCTCCAAAAGTTAAAGGGCAAAGCAAATTGATAAATAAGAATATACAATAAAATCAAACAAGGGACGGGGGAAGGGAGGAACGGGAATTCGGGTGGGGGGTCACAGGAAGTTTAAAAGGACACAAGAAAAAAAAATTAAAAACAAAATGTAGTAGCAATACTGTAAGGGTACTCACCAATATTGATGCATCCATTTCCATTAAGCCTCTTTTCCAGCATGTATGGTTTCACTCCAATATTGATGCAGGCAAGACAATTCAGCCATTGTCTCAGAAATATGGATTCATTTTTACTAGGTCACTGGTACCCTAAAATGATGAAAACAGTGACCTTTGTGCCTTTTTATCCTTTTGTGCTGGCCTTTCATTTGATGCAGTGCATCACTGCAAAAGTGACACAAATATGATGCATGGTCTTGGATTTATTTAACCCCTTAAGGATAAACGACGTGTGACATGTCATGATTCCATTTTATTCCAGAAGTTTGGTCCTTAAGGGGTTAAACCTCTTTAATCTTTGGACTTATGTTCTTTCATGGTTTACAAGGTGACTTATACCATGCTGAGGATCCTCCATATTCCTGGCAAATAAAAAGCAATAGAAAGGAAAAGAACTGTAGAAAACAAGAATACAGGAAGTAGAATAGAAATATATTTAAATGATTGGCATGTTCAGTATACTGGTTCAAGCACTGCAGTCACAAATGTGGGGACCAAGGTCCCATGATGTGGGAAGCATTTTGTAGGAGTATGCAGCGAGGAGTAGTGTTTAACAAGTGGTTGTGATCAGGGATGCCATCAGAATTTTTTACACAGCTCAAGGTCTGGGCCTTTATGACCCGACCCCGAGTCCATGCACAGGGCCCACTCTGGGTCCGCTTACAGTGTGTGAGTGTAGAGTGGATACAGAGTGCTTATAGTGGATACAGAGTGTTTATAAAATGGATGCAGAGCATGTGTGTATAGTGGGTGAAGATTGTGTGTGTAGTAAATGCAGTTTCTGTGCAGTGAATGTGGTGTGTAATGGATTTAGTTGATGTGGGTTTGTAGTGGATGTAGTGGATGCGGTGTGTATAATGGATGCAGTGCATGTGTGTAGTGGATGCAGAATGTATGTTTCAGTAGTGAAATCATTGCATGTGTAGTAGATGCAGTGCTTGTGTTTCTTTAGTGGATGCAGTTTGTGTGTAGAGGATGCAGTGTGTGTAAGTAAACATTTAGGGTAGGATAGGGGCAGCATTCTGCTGGCAAAAAGTTGTTGTTTTTTAAATGTAAAAAAAAATAAAATGTTATTTCCCCCTATCTGTCTTTTACCACTGAAAATTACACTGGTGGTCTGGTGGCAATGTGCAGGCTGCCAGTTGTTGTATAATGAATAGAGGAGACCCTGCAAACTCCATCTTCAGCTTCCGGCAGCTCCTCTCTCCAACTATTGCGAGCCCGGCTTACGTTCTGCGTGTTACGATGATAACTTGCGCAAAAAATAAGTCTTGCAATACCATTCTGAATCTGAACTAAGGTTCCTGGGAAGCAGACATAAGTAGTGTCTTGGGTAACGGAAATAATCCATCATGTTGAACAACAATTGCTTGCTTGGGTATTAGGAGGACTGCCGAAAAAGGAGAAAGCACAATGTCAAGACCATTTGCCAGACCCTTGGTTTTCAGGTTTTGTTTTTTTTCTCATGTCTTCAAGGTAATCAGAATCAAATTCTGGTAATTTTTGCATAGCTTCCCCCAAAGCAGCCTTCTTATTCGAAACATCATATTTGTATGTGTTTGTAAGCCTCCTACAAAACCCATCGAGACTTTCCCAAAATATGGAGATGTGCACCGCAATATTAGAGCAAAGGTCAGGAAATAAAGATCCCTTAAATCAACAGTATACAATCTCCTAGCTTGGAGAATGTCTTCTAGGTCTTAAAGCCTATCTAACTGTAACCTGTTGAGACATATTAGTCATTAGCTATAGAATCCATACTGCACTTTAAGTTTCAGTTTGACTAAGAAAAGAGAGTACCAGTGACCATGCTGCCCAGAGGTGTTTTAGGCCTCTACTTTTTAGATCTATTACATATTTTTCTGAAAGTAGTGCTGTGATGGACCTCTGTCACTGAGTACCATGCCCACTTATTCCCACTTGCTTGTCCGCTTTGTTTCAGATTCTCATGTCTGGGATCTCCCTATCTAAGAGGCAATGTATTGGTTGTGGGGTCCCCTGGTTCACAAATCATGTTTAGGCTGGATTGGAAGATTGTGCTTGTCCCATTCTGGATATGATATTGAAACACAAGTGGTTGTTTGTTCCTGAAAGCTGATGAGCATTAACATGTCATAGGACTTCCCATCTAAGAGGCAAACCAGGCTTCCAGGGCACTTAGGTGTGACTTCTCACACCTTACCGAATAGCTCTGTTGGAGTCCCCAGCTTCAAAGAGTAACTCAGGTTGAAAGCTCTGTCCTTTCATACAATCAATTAACCTAGTTTGTAATGTTAAAAGGTGTGTGGGCTTTTTTTGAACT